CCCCAAAACCCCAAAACCCCTTGTTTATTAATTAGAAAGAAATCATTAAACAATATATTTTAAATAGTAATTAGTTTGTTGTTTAAGTAAAATTCTTTTCAATAATTAAGTTTAAATTTAATCATTTAAGTTTAATTTACAAAAACTATAAATGATCTACTTTCCTCATTTACCTGAGGAATAAAAATAAAATCAAAAGCAATTCTATGCTATTAACCCTTATCAATAATCTCCATATTAGATACCATTATACTAATACTCCCCAGCAACAGCATGGATAGTGTCTTATCTTTGATTGCTTGGTTATGCTGATATTGAAGTTTACTTTCTTATTGGAATATTAATTTACTCTAGATCTTCATCAACTGGAAGTCCACTGATTGGTTTAAAAAGCTTTTAAACTTCCTTTATTTTACCTAGTTTTACTCCTACTCCTAATTTTCTTTACCTGCCCAAGCTAACATCATAAGCTGCTCTCTACGCTGCAGCATTCTACCTAGAAGCCTCCCTAGATTCATGAACATTGTCTGCTGGCTTAAAACTAGTACTAGTCTACTCAAACATTTATTAGTTTTTAATATGAGAACTATTATCAAAATCTATGCTATGTCTATCCTATATCCTTTAATGATCATCATCATGGTCTGGAGTTTTTGTAACTTAAAAATACTTGGAAATTCTTTTTTCAGCTACCCAACCCTTTATTTTATTAATAAGTCTTTTGACTGAAGTTGACAGCTCTAAAACCATCATGTAAGTCATGTAAGAAGAATTTACTCCAATCATTACTGCTGAAACAAAAAGAGAGAATAACCCTATTTTATACTATGTTTTCGGGTTATTTATGTAATCTGTGAATAAAAAGGAAAGATAGGATATCAAAAGAACACAGACTTCATTAAATATCTCCAATTTATTTATTGCAGGATTGCTAAATGGTTTTGTATAAAGTACATACATCATAGTAGTCAAATTCAAGTAAACAACTATTTAAACTTAAGCTGTTGGAGATTCTCTCATGAATACAGCAGTCAAGGCAAATGCAAATCTTTTTAAAAGGAAGAGTACATTCCAAAATAAAGTTTTTCTTGAGTCTCTTTTTAAAGTATCCCAAAGAGAACCATATCGTTTTTCATACAAATCGTCCTCTGCTTAAATATAGTCAAAGCTTTTGTTAATAAAAATTGCTATTGCAATGGGAGATAGCACTGTGAGAATGAAAAATACCAGAGCAAGAAGAGATGATAGAATTTACAGACTCTCATCGAATTTCAACTATAATTTATCTGAATTGAAATATTACTTACATTTTGAATATTGATCATGCTTATCAAAGCATAACTTATATATCCTTCAATTAAAAATGTCAGGAAATAATTGTAATATAATTTGTTTGCAAAATAGAAATATGCTTTTCTTGCTCTAGTTAAATAACAATTAAAAATTTAATTTATCATACATTAGCAGTTTAACCCCAATTAATTTAAAAATAACGAGATTAAAAACCTGTAATACCAGCAATAATATATAAAAATTAGCTGTTCCTAAATTCATAATGACTGTTTAGCTGCCATATCGTGAAAAGGAGTTAAAGTTATGAAATTAAGGTTAATCTTAAGTTAAAAGATATCAAGTGCATCGAAATTAGAATCGTAAGGCTCATCACCTTCAAATTAGAAAGCATTAATTATCGCTTCCTCTGATGGAATAAAATCGAAAGTGCAAACACTAACAAGCAAGCTACTAATAAATTTAGCATTTGGCGGGTAGTTGATATTAAAGAGCGGCATGTGTACTGTAATCTGCAAAACATTGATCATTCCCCATAAATATTAAAGGGAAGAGGAGAGTATAAGATTTGTAGCAAAATTCCCTAAAACAATTGCATTTGCCCCTCCTTAAAGACCATCTCCAATACCTCCCAAAAATGAAGAAAAACCTATATAATAATTATTATTTCAACTAATTTACCATCGTTGTCCATTTATCTAGTTATATCTTTGCTAATTAAATATCCACCAGGTATATGCTTCTTTTTATCTTTACTACTTTAAAATAGTAACCCTTGTAAAAACTTAACATTTACTTTGTCTTTTCCCTATTTTATTACAGTTTTTAAAAAATGATACTTACTTGATAAGATATTCTAAGTGGGTTTTAAAATGTTAATTTTAGTGTCATTGTTTTCTAGCCAAATTCTGTGCATTCCCATGTAAATCCAAGTTCCTCAATTTTAGAGTAAGGACCAGCACTTACTTTAACTTATAAGATCTTTGAATTAAATTAACTAAAATCCTTTGGTGTATCAATATTTTCACTGAACTATATAAGAACTTTTCCATTGGCATAAACTTTCTTAATTTGAGCTGTAATGTATTTTTCCGGATTCTTTTCGAAATCTGTTGTATCATCTTAGTATGTTCCAGGTTCTCCATCCTCTACCTATATTATAAAAATTAGATTCTTAAAAAACTTACTATAGGTACTATTATTTCCTCACCAGAGAGATCATCAACACCATCACCATTATCATTTGCAATTATATCATATATTTATATTTTGAGTGAGTATGTTTAGCTTTGACTATTCATATTTTTATCCTTTAAAAGTATTGTTGCTTGATGCTCCCCTATATTTTACTTTGTAGAAGAAAGATATATTTTCCCATTAAGATACTTGACAAAACTTGGACTGCTTTAAAGTTCACAGCTATAATCATCATCATCATCATCATCTCTAATGCTCGGCAAAGAGTAAAGTTTAAATTCATTCCATCTCATTTCAAACAATTCTAGATCCTTCTAAAAATAAGGAGGACCTGTATTGATTAGACCACCCATTTAAGATTAATCACGAGCGATATTTATAGTAAAAATAATCTCCGCTGACTGTAGTTATCTCACAGTAGTTCCACTAAGCTTAATTTCATAAAGACCAATGTGTGAAGTATTTGTGGTGGAAATAGTGTAAGTCAAACTGATGGTGTTAATAGAAATAAAAGACGGTAGAGGCTAGCCATTGGCCATTGTTGAGATGTAATTGATTGGAATATCACAAAATGGTTTCTGAGAAAATGGGGATACATCCATTGACTTTAGCTTTTCAGTAATTAAGAACTAACTTATGTATATAATAAGTACATTTTATTGACAGGAATGTTCGTAATTAATCCATCAAGAATGCAATCATGATATCTTATATGAAATATAGTTGATACTGAATTTTCCAAAAAAGTTCCAATTAGCTCAATAGAGATTATCTTTTCTTCGGTAAAATTCATACTTTGAAATGCTATTATTCTATAGTCAGATAATATCTCACTAATAACTTCTCCTTAAGGCAAGCTGGATTAACCAACTTATTTGGCAGTGTAGACAATTTTTGGTCCACAGTTCAACGAATCTGAGAATTTTGTAAATTAGAATCTCAAATTTGGGCCTTTATATCCAAGCGTCTTATTTGAAATTGCTACTGGACTGATGACACTCAAATTGCAATTTATTTAAAGGTCTAGAGTAATTATTGTTGAGCCTGATACTGCACCTGTATAAGCTAAAATTTCAACTTCATGCATTCCAACTTTTTTGTAATCAGATACGAATACATCAAAACTTCCAGTTTACCAATCAAAGTTTTTTATCATTGTAGTATCACAATCTTCTCCTTACATCTTGCAAATGTAAGTAAACTCACAACCTGCTGGGTCAGAGCTAAAAGCTTCTGGAACAACCTCAAGAGGATCATCAAGGATGTAGTAAATTAAGGTTTTAGGAGAAGGCCCATTTATTTAAGTAGGCTAGCATTTTGCAATTAAATTTAATCTGAAAATCATCTGATTTTTGAAATTTTATGATAATCCTTGTACTCCAGAAACTACAAGAGAAAAAGGATTGTAATCAGCGAATGCTCTATTTTCTGTAAATATAGTAAGTATATTTGAGTCTCCATCTAGAGTTAGGAAACTTATATCTTTAAAGTTTGCCTCTGTTATAGTATATTTAAATGCTCCACATTCAGCAACCGTAGCAGTAGATGAAAATGGAGGCAATTCCACTTCATATTCAAGAGATCCAATTGTGTAAAATAGGTCTCTTTACTTTCCAACCTGAATAACAGCACTTTAGCAATAATTTAAAAGTCCTATAGTGAAAAAGGTGGTATTTTTTTGAAATTTAAAATCGATATAGCCAGTAATTGTTACTTTATAATAAGTTTCTGTTAAAAGTAAATTGCCAGTTTACACATTAATTACGTTATTAACATCATCGAATGTTAAAAAGGAGTTGCAAGCTGGGCTACATTAAACTTCATAGGTGAATGTTTTACATATATTAGTAGATGATATCCATCCATAAACTGCTATCTACTTCTGGATAGCTCCAATCGTATAGAACTAATCTGAAATCTTATTAGGTGTAATTGTTGCAACTTAACAAGAATTTATCATCACAACTTTAAAAGCAAATGCCTAGGATTTTTTAGTATTATTTCCTATTAGATAAAATGTATACTCGTTATCGGTAAGTGAAAAATCATTAGACATAACTGTGAATCGCTTATTTATAAATGAAAAAATTGCAGGATCAGGTGCGTTGAAGTCTTAATCAACAAGAGTATATTAGATTCCAGGACAGTCGGGTAAATCTTAGGACCAGTTCATAATTCCAATAGTTTCATTCTTCCCGTCACTTACATCATAATAATACACATCCAGCTATGGTTAAATATTGAACTTTGCATAGAAGCAGTTGTAATTGACTGTGATTGAAAATGATGAGTTCTCATTCGCTTAAGGAAAAGTATCTACAAATCCATAGAGATCAAATTAATAAATTCCTGATTAAGAGTTGTTATCTGCCTTTAGATATAGCCGAAAATTAACTGTGTCGAAGTAGAAAATGCTCTTATCAAAATCAGATCCATTTTTGTACTTTAAAGTGTAGGTGACATTGCAGTTGAGGGTAAGGTAAAACTAGTAGAGCTAGATTGTTCTGTTGCCATCTCCAACTGTGTATGGATAGGCATATTAGGTTGATTTGTATATTTTAACATCTTCGCAATGTCTAACACTTAGTTATATCTTCATTGTCTTATTAATTTTAGTAGGTTCATACTAAACTCTGATTGTCAGATTGTATTATCCTAGATCATTTTTGTCATTTGTAAAAAACTTAAATGAACCTTTATTATCTTCCTCCTAAGTAAGGAAAGTTGGTAGTGTTACTGGACTAGTGACATAATATTTCTATTCAGCATCATCACAAGCATATTCTACTCTTGGAGTGTGGTATAATGTCCAATTTTTTAGAGGTTCATTCAGTAAATATGTATACGAAGCTTCATATTCTTAGGTGTAATAGATTAATGATTAATACGTTCTTAATTGAGGACACCATGTATTGTCAACAGTTGAATTCATATCGATTGATGTCACAGAAACTGTTCCTTCCACTACTTGATCCAAAATAGTTAGAGACTATATTATGGAATTACTAAGAGTAACTTTAGGCAGAACAAATTATTCCATTACAAAATTTTATAGTAAACCTGTTACATCTGATTAACTTCCTGAGCACTATATTCCTGAGCCAATTCCCATGATAAAACCCATTTAATTTGCATAGGATGTTGATTCAGGAATGGGGTATTTGTAACTTTAAGATGATCCAGCATAAAAGAAATAATTTTTTTTGGGAAAGGAGCCCTACACTATTTATCTTTACTAGTAATTGTCAAAGTATGTAGCATTACTCTGATAGGCAATATTTCCATCATTAGTAAAATCCACTTTTATATAATAGAGTAATTTAGAGAGGGTATATTGAATCAATACAGTCCCAAAGCCACATCCAACAACCTCAAATTCTTAAAAGGTCTTAAATCTAGAGTAACTTATTGCCTGTGATCCAGTTGTAATCCATAAAGTAAATTAATGCTAACCTGCATTTTAATCAGTAAGTACAGCAAAACTGAAATAATCACTCGCACATATCCCACTAACCGTATAATATTCTGATGGGTAATTTGGATTAGCAACTCCTTGAATGGAATTAATACTTTATTAGTTATAGTAAATTTTCGAAACAACTGTGTAAACAACATCATCAGTGTATTTTATCAGACCTCCAATAAGAATTACATTAGATTCATAGTAATCTAGTATTATTCTTGAAGCTTTAGAATACTAGGATATTGAGTTCCCAGCTAAGTTGAAACTGATCCCAGTACTATTCATGTATTTTGTCAACCTCCAGTTATTTTAATACTCAAGGACTACAAAAAGACTGTCTGTTGAATGAAAATACAATCCATATCGATTAGTAGTACCAGCAGTTTAATCGTAGTACTAACTTTATATCTCACCGTCATTTAGATTCATAAACATAACTAAGATGCCATCATTAATCTAACATGCAACACCAAGTCCACTTTTTGAATTTGATTCTGAACTTGAGAGCCATCGAGATAGTCTAACATAGCATGCACTTGCTGCTGGATCTAAATTTTCTATATACTTTCCCCATTTGAACTTGTTGTTGGTTCCTAAATATGCGATAAAATGTCCTTAACCTGCTGTTATTAAATCAGATGAAGTGGTATACCCTGAGACTGCGACTCTCAGATTATATTCAACATCCAAACTGAAAATTGTAGTGTGGCCAGTTAGACCTCCAAATATTCTCGGAAAATATGCTGATGTAAGGCATGAATGAGCAATGGCACTAGAATTCTTGAAAACCAAAAATTTTACCTCTCTATAAAGAAGAGTAGAAATATAGCCATAAAAGCTAACATATATATATTGAATTATTTAATATTCTGTAAAAGTTCAATTGAAATGAGTATTTCTACAAAATCTACATGCTTTTATGCTAATAGTCTCGGGGTTTTGGGGTTTTGGGGAGAT